CATCTGGATGCCAGTGTCTTCCACATTTATATCTTTGGTTCTCTCTCCTGAAACCCAGACTCATCTATCCAACTGCCTACTCCACACCTCTTCTTGTATGCCTAAGACATTGCAAGCTGAACATGTTCAAGACTTCTGATTCCCTTCCCACCCACAGGTGTGCTTCAACCACAGTCTTCCCCATCTCAGAGGATGGAAATGTCTTCCTTCCAGTTGCTCGGTAGAAACCTTGCAGTAATCCTTGACTTCTCTCTTTCTCTCACACCACACACCTGATCCATCAAGAAATCTCTTGGCTTTTTCTTCAGAATATATGCGAGCATTTCTTCTCACCTCCCCTCACTAACCTGTTCATGATCAATGCCTTTGTTGCATCATTTGCATTGCTGCAATCATCTGTTTCACTCTTGCCCATCTGTAGTCTGTTCTCAACCGAGCAACCACAGTGATCCTTTGGTGAGCAGATCATGTCACTTGCCTGCAGTCTTAGATTACAATAGCCTCCAAGGGGGGGACATGGAGAAGACTGACCCCGTTAGAACCAGTCTCTGTGCCTTCTCTGGTTACTATGTATGCCAATAATGGCAGGACCATTGTGTCCTTCTGGATGACCCTGATTTCCACTGGAGGTCCCATGCCAAGGGACTGGCAGGAGCTACAGAGAACTTAGGACTAATGAGCCTGAACTGTCAAAGCGCCCATGAGTTCTGTGGTTAGTTTTTGCCCCTTCCAAGTGGAAGCTAAGCACAAAAAGCAAAGAGATGGCTCCTCAGACTGAATCAAGGTTGGATCTGAGAGAAAAACATGCTGGCAAGTTCCATGCAATGTGAAAATATGAGCATTACAATGAGTTTTAAGAATAGCTAAGCTGAGAGCTAAGCTTTCCTTGCTGTTTATGGAGGAAGCATGATAGGAAGGAAAAGACACAGGAGGAAATATCCAGGAGGCCCCGTGTTTGAAAACTTGATTTTCGACTATGGAAGAATAGACTATTGTTCAGGGAATGTTCACTCCCTCCCACCCCCATCTCCGTGGGAGGATTGTGATGGTGGGCTTGGCCAGGTGGCTTGCTTTGGCTAGTGGAAGGAGGACAGAAGTGAGAGTGTGAGGTTCAAGACTGGGCCTTAAGTAGCAACACGTGTTTCTGACCTCCACCATGAGAAGTACATGCCCTGAAAGTCCGCCCGATTCTAGAAAAATGAGAGCCATATGGAGCTGACAGCCAGAAACAGAACCACCACAGCCGACCCGCAGAGGCAGCTGTGAGAAGTCAGTGCTCACTGTTGAATGATGGGTTACTATGCAGGAGTGCTGACCCACACAGCCACTTACTAGACGTGTGTCCTTGGTCAGACTTAGTTTTCTCATTTGCAACCTAGAGTAGCAATCATACCCACTTTGAAGGACTTTGTTAGCACTAGGTAAGGTGCCCTGTGTAAAGCACAGGTCCTGGAGTGTGGAAGTGCTCAGGTAGCATCACTTTCACATTCCTGATGCTCAGCACATTGCACAGTGGGTACTGTGTCTACATGAGCAGGACAAGTAGAAGCTATGCTGGGGTTTAGTTCTGGTAGCAGTAGCAGAATGGGCTGGCTAGGAGAGTGGGTAGGGGTGGGGGTCAGGTGTCCCTGGGTAGTGTGGTTGAAGTGGCAGCATCAAGGTGGTGCTGATTTCTCTCTATCTCTCTTAGAAGTATGGAAGCAGGATACCCTGGTAGGTGCCCCTGAGCAGGTGGCATTGTCTTCGTCTTGACCTGAATTCATGGGCTGACGCCAGCATAACCTGCTGCTTCTTGCAGAGCCTCGGGAGAAACTTCCAGGCTTGTGTTTACCACCCACTGGCTGTCCTAGTGAAGGACTCCCGTACCAGACTCCCCTGCCTGCCTCAGGGAGTTTAGCTGGATGGAAGCATGCTGTGGTTTCCTGCAGAGCAAATCAATCCCCTTCAGACACAGTGTCATGGACACAGTTGCATCTGGGCCATTCTCATGTATCGGCCATCATTATCCCTGCAGTGCTACTCCCTTCAGGTATGTGATAAAGGTCACTACAGGGAACACCTGCATTCTTCCCTGCCGAAGTGTAAGAAGACAAAATACCTGTTATCAGGGGGCCTGAAGCAGTTACCTCTTCCACGCAGGCCAGGGCCTCTTTACTTTGTTTTAGTTCCCCTTTCGTTTCCCGTGGTCCTGACAGGCATCGAGTATTAGGGACAAAAGGAGGAGAGGGTGCTCCTGCTCTCTTCTAATTGCATTTCCCAGAGTGGGTCTTCAGAGGTGGTGAGGGCGTTTCGTCACGTGTGCCTGCTGCCTTGGCAGGAACGCCTTAGCACGCCATTGACACCTGGTTCCAGAACAGCTTGCCTGCCACTCCCTGTGCCCCTGTCACTGCTACTGAAGGAGGCCATTCATTCTTGGATTAACTCAGGCCATCACCAGTGTTTACTGGGTATACTTTGTCTTAGGCAGTGAGATGCAGAGCTGAGGAAGACAGAGGTCCTCCCTCTGAGCTCTTCACAGCTCTTCAATGCTCTCCACGTTCTGTATGTGCTGCCCCCCTCTGCCTGGAATGTCCTTCCTTCCTTCCTTCCTTCCTTCCTTCCTTCCTTCCTTCCTTCCTTCCTTCTCCTCCTTCCATCCCTTTCCTCCTTCCTTCCCTCATTTCTTCCTTCCTCCTTCCCCTTCCCTCTCCCTCCTTCCCTTTTTTCCTTCCTTCTCTTCCTCTCTTCCCTTCTCTCCCCCTACCCTCTGGAAAATAGTTACTTATTCATCCAGTCCTCCTTTGAATGGCACCTGCTTCGTGCAACCTTCCCACGTAATCATAAGCAGATTTGATCATTCTCTTCTCTGTGATCCCAAAGGTTCCTATTCATATTTTTAACATTGTACTTGTTACATAAATCCTTAGGATACCCTCTGCTATGTCTGTGTCCCTGACTAGAGAGTGAAGACCTTGTGGATAGGAAAGGCATTCTATCCATCTCTCTATCTTCTGGCACTCAGGACCCATTCTGTAAATATTTGTGGAACGAGTGAATGAACACATGCATAAAGGTCTTGGGTTTTAACATTGCTAGCCACTTCAGCTATCACTCACATGTGTTCTTCTCAGTTCCCATGGACCCCATGGAGGTGGCAGTCAACAGGGACACCTTACCTGAAACAGATGAAGTTGAAGTTTTCCTTGGCCACAAAACAGTCACCCATCATTGGTCCTATGATCTGACACACTGGTTCTCCAGCCCCCCATTTGCACCAAAATCAATACCTGTTCCTGAGTAAGGCCACATTCCCATAGCACAGACCTGCGTGGATGTTTTCATCTTCAGCAGCAGCCATGTCACTTAATATTAATCAGACCAGTGCTGGGGGTGGGCTGAGGAGGAAAGTCTCACTAATGATTGAATCTGCAACTGGCAATCTGTCGGATTGTGTGTTGGGGCTTAATGTGTGATTTCATGGCTTTTCATGGTCTCTGAACTGCAAATTCAAGATTATTTGAAAACATTTTACTTAATTTTCATGCATTTTTAATCAAAAAAGTTAAAAGAATAATAATCTTTTATGGGCAGTTATAAATGTGCTATTTACACATAAGACAGCAATATCTCCCTTCTCTGAGCAATCTAAGTGTGTGCTTAGAGAGGACTCCATCAGAATGCTGATGAGGAGCGGCAGAATGTGTTTGGAGATATTTAATCCATTCTTCAAGGCAATGTCTATCTAAGTGGAGTCTGATTCTCCAGGTCATTCATCACCTCCACGAGCCCCCTAACCTCTTCATATGCAGTGACTTGGCAGTGACCGCCTGTGGGTAGGGCTGGTGTCCGGGTCATCTTTACATTCCTGCAGCCTCCCTTGGTGCCTGTCATGGGTGGGGCAGGTGTGCAGGGAACGTTTGTTTGCTGAATGAATGAGGAAATGAAGGAGGGAAGCGTTCTCCATCTCTCTCTCCAGCAGTCCAAGGTGAGACCTGCCAACACTCTCTGTCCCTTGCGCATCACTATTGGAGGTAGAAACGGCAGACGCAGTTGAGCTCTTAGCTCAGTGAAGGACTTTTATAGGAAGCGATTTTTACTTACATGCTGTTTTTTACTTTTGTGAAAATCATTACTTCCCTATTGCTTGAATCAGAATCCTAGGCCTAGAAGAACTTCAGAAACCTGAGGTTCAACTTTTTCACCTTACAGATGAGGAAACAGAGTCAAAGTGAGGAAGCTCCTTGATGAATAACAAAGTCAAGGTTTGAATCCCAGTTTCCTGCTCACTCTTAATTAGGAAAAAATAAAATATATATGTATTTTCCTGTACTAATTTCTTTCATCTCTTGGTGTGTGCTATCTCACATGATTTTTCCCAAATCCTGCAACTCCTGGGATTGCTGTGGATAATCCTCTTTTCTCTTCCTCCTTCAACTTTGCACTGTTTACTCTTTTCTGCTTAAGGAGTCTAGGATGAAACACTGAAATGCTCTGGCAACCCAAGGAAACTTGACAGGGTCCTCTAGATCCATGGGCCACACATGTGGATGAAAAAAGATGCCACCCTGCCTCTGTCTGGAAGGAAGACCCAGCCACACAGAGAGGGAGACCTTGTCCAACTGAGAGCCTCTGTTAAGTGTCGCAGTTGGATCCGAAGCACCTTTTGAGTGCATTTTCAATCATATAATTGGCAAATCTCCAACTGTGCACAGCTGACGTGGTGGAGTTTGTCAGCCAGTGGAGTCCCCCAGCTCATTACTAATCTGTGGGATAACGATGACCACCATTATCATAATCATTACTGCCTTAGACAGGCATGGATGACAAAGACACCCTGGGGACTTCTGTTTGAAATGAGGTGCTTCTGAGCCAACCCTGTCTCTCCAGAGAGGCTTTCTATAGAATTACAGCATCATGAAGCTGAAAGAGGCCTGTGGAGATCATCAGTTCTGGCTTCCTGCCTTCAGACAGGAGTAACCTTTATAGAACAGTTGCTGTAGACGAAATTGAACCAAACTTACTTTTATATGTTATTCTTGTGATAGTATCTCTGTTGAGCATTCGATTAAGAAATGGGTTTGATGAATCAGAAACCTAGGGGAGAAAAGGAGATATTAATGACTGGGCAGCACTCTTCTAGGATAAACATTGCCTCCATGCATGCACTTGCTTGTGTGTATTGACTGAGTGCCTACCATGTGCTGGACACTGTGGTGGCTGGAAATTAAAGATTGAAGACCCAGACCCTACTCTCAAGGAAACCCCAGTCTAGAAAATGAAGGCAGGTAAGTAAACAAATGGTTCTAATATACAGGTGTGATGATGTCAGAGGAAGAATACTCACCACCCACGGAATCTGGCCACCTAAGGCATGGAAGGATGGGTAGAAGTTAACAAAATGTTTTGATGGCAGAATGTGGAAAAGGAGGAGAGGCAAAAACAAAATAAAACAAAAAACCACCCCAATCCTGCAAGCATTCCATAGAGAGGATCTGTACATATGCAGACATGGGGGTGTGAGAACGAGATGTGCTCAGGCAAGTATTTTAGTGTAGTTAGAGAGGTAGGCAGGGGCTAGCCCATGTCAGCCTTTGGGCATCACACTAGGACATTTAAACCTTATTCTGTAGGAATGGGGAGCCATCAGAGGGCTTAAGCAGGTGGTAGGGAGTGACATGTTAGGAAGCGGGTATTTTTCTAAGAGTGAGAGAGAAAGAGTATCCAGAATAGAGGTATCATCCATCCATCCATCCATCCATCCATCCATCCATCCATCCGCCCACCCATCCATCCAATAAATATTTACTGAGTGCATATTATGGGCCAAACATAGTACTAGATGTTCAGAGATCAGTTCCCATTTTATGCCTGTGCCCTTACATCTCTAAATTCCTCTTATGGGAAAAGAAGCCAAGCTTCAAGGGGCATGAGCCAGGGAACCACTGTGTCTGAGATTGTGACGTGGCCCCACATACCTGTGCACACGGTTTTCTTACAGCCCTTCTTTACTCTGCCTTTTCTGAGGTGCCATTGTTCCTCCTAGTCATTTCTTTCCTACCTTGCTCAGCTCTCTGCTCTGCAATTTATGCCTTGGCTGCTAATCGGATGTTGTGACACATCAACACTTTAAATCTGATTTATTCTGAGGGTTGGAAAAATTGTGGCAGATGATTATTATTATTAGATAAGCAACAGGTAATTTTAGTTTGGAGAAAGCACAGTCTGTTTATTTTCCCTCCATCTGTCTCTCTTCTGGCACAGTTTCCTGGGTGTGTTGTGGTGAGACGCACGTCAAGGGGAGCTTGGTAAGCAACGGTACTCAATACAGGTAAAAGCCCACCCCCCAATGGAGAAAAGACCCAAATCAAACACTGTTGCTGCCTGGAAACTTTAGTGCCAGATTCAACTTCTACTCTGACATCCTCTGCAGCCATTTACCAGATAGCTTGAAGCCTCCTGTTTGTGCTGACACACCCCTGGGAGAAGCAGGGCCAAGTGTACCTTGTTGTGGCAGGTAAGGAACCTGTCATGTACCTTAACCACTGGAGACCTTGGGATCCTGGTACCTGGTGAGTCTGGGCAGCAGTGATGTTGGGACCAGACCCTTTTGAGCTGATTGAAAATGATTGAAAGATTTCCAAAGGCCACACAGATGATTTGTGGGCTCTAGTGTGTTGGCTGTGTGGGTGAGAGGATAAAATATGTACTTGGTATAAAAGAGCTTAAGTGGGAAGTTAATGGTGTGTGATTGAGCAGCAATTACAGCCAAATCTTAGTCCCCCGTGGTCATAGGAAGGATGGGGGATTAGCAGAGGACAGAGACAAATAAAAACCCACAGATAAAAAATCTCTCCTTTTAGCTGGTAACTCCAGACTTTCGATGGCTCAGCTTTTGGCCAGGGTGGCTTCTCTGGGGCTAACCTACCTAGACGTGGGGCTTCTCATCTGTCGCTGCCTACCCTGCAGAGCTAAGAAGAGGAGGCAGAGAGAGCAGGAGGGAGGATGACTACAGGAGGCTGTGCAACCCGAGACTGAGGGCTCTGTTCATCTCATTTCCGTGTACCAGTGCCTAGCAAAGGGCTGGCTACATCCTAAGCTCCACCAGTGCTTTTAGATGAGAGAATGACAAGTCAGAGCTTGCATAACTCACTATGGACTTGATTGTCTGGGAGCTGATGGTGTGGAACAAAGATTATGTATAAGCTGTGGCTTATTTTGAGATGTAGCCAGAAAGCTTCCGGGTTTGCTCAGGGAAAGAATGGGAGCATCCCTAGGGACCAAACTGGCCTGAGGAGATGCAGGAGCGGGTCGCCACCCCGTCATTGACCTCAGGGCCTGGGGCATAAATTCCTCCCAATACCCTGCAGGGAAGCAGCCTGGACCTGCAAGCTCTGACTGTTAGATGTGATCTCCATGAAACACACCAGGAGTTTGCTGTTGAAGAGGCTGCCTTCCCTGCATACCCGTCACTCTGTCAGCTGTAGTGCGCCTGTGCTTCCAGGATGACAGTCACCGACTCAGGAGCTTTGAGCAGAGTGAGGCAAAGTCTGGGGCTGAGACTGGGATGCCCTGAACAGGACAGGAATTGTTGGGGCAGGCAGGTTGGCCAGTGGGAGTTACTCATGGAAGGGTTGGCATTGGGAACAATGTGAGGGGAGGTGTGCTCCTGGATATGCATGACAACATTGTCACATATCAGCAGGCTTCACAACAATGAGTGTCGCCTGGGTAGAATGCACCAATTAGTTATTAATGATATGATCAGTGCTGGACTAGGGATACGGGAATATGCCCTGTGCTTGTGGGTAGCATGGGGATGCATGGGGGGATGTTGTAAAATGTCATTTTCTCTCTTCCTGCCCTCAGTTTCTCTCTCCGATCTCTGTTGGGGAGGCACAGGGTGGGGATAAGTTCAAGTCGTGAAAACTAAAGTCAGGCAAGACCTGGATTCTTTTCCTGGCTAGACTATTACGAGCTACACAAACTTAGGTGGGATGGCAAAAATTCTCTGAACTGGTCTTTTTCATCTGTAATATGGACACTAATGCCCAACCTGTAGGTTTATTATTAGGTGAAATGGTAAAATAGGTGTAAAATACATATCACAGTGCCTCGCATTCAGGAATCTACTGTTTGTTATTCAAGGGTTTGTGATGATGTCAAGAGATAACAGAACAGGGATCATCTTCATTAGATTCCACGTGTTGGATGGGACACGTTCTCCAATGATCTGGCCGAAACTTCTCCAGGGGCTAGGTCAGTGACCGCAGACTTTTGGAGCTGCCGCACATTGCTTTTTTTTTTTTAAATCTTTTTTTTTCCATGATAAGAAAGGCAATTTCTTTTCTTTCCTTTTTTTTTTTTTTTTAAGTTTCATATAACTGCTTTACTCTACATTTGCCAAAATGTTGAAGGTACTTTTATTAAACAAATTAGGATATACTTGGTCGGAGATTTTATGTTGTTGTTGACTGCTGGGGAGATGTGGAGCCTCCCTAGAATGTCAAGAAGTCAGCGTGGGTGGCCTCTGCCTTGTGTTACTGGGAGTGCACATGAGGGAGCGTGAGAGTGAGGAAGCGAGAGGGTGCTCGGAGCAGTTGCAGGGGTGCTGGCAGGAGGTGCTTAGTGCAGCGCCCGGAGAGGGGCTTGTCTACATTCCCTTGTTTTTCCAAGGGGCAGCTGACTGATGGACAGGTCTTTATGCTGTGGGGTGTCAGTGGGCCACCTCTCCCCTTCTGCTACTATGTCCTTCTGATTCCACTGCATTAGGTGGGACCTGACGCTTGTCCCTGGATCCAGTGCTCTTTTCCTCTCGAGGACAGAAGCTGCCTGAATCCTCAGGCCCTGAGGCTCTGAAATGCAGCCCATCATTTCTGCAGGGGACTTCATTTTTCATAAAAATCATGGATATAAAAGTCACCACCCTGGGCCGGGCCCGTGGCGCACTCGGGAGAGTGCAGCGCTGGGAGCGCGGGAGTGCTCCCGCCACGGGTTCAGATCCTATATAGGGATGGCCGGTGTGCTCACTGGCTGAGCGCGGTGCGGCCGGTATCAAAAAGGACAAAAAAAAAAAAAAAAAAAAAAAAAAAAAAAAGTCACCACCCTGCCACTTTTCTTAGGCACAGACATCAATGGACATCACCCTTTTAAAAATTTCCAGCTTCAACAGAGACTAGAAACTAATATTCTGAGTGGGGTGGGAATGGTGACAAGAAAAGAATAAAGAAATGCAGGAGACTTACTTTTATAAATATAGAAACTACCACCAATCCATTTGGACTCTTTGCAGCTTCTGTGACATTTGTATATAACTCATGGTTATAGTGGATGAGCTGCACCTGGCAGGAGGGAAAAACAAGCATAAGAACAGCAATCCAGCATTAAAAAGTGTGACGCACAGCATATGCCCACACATGAGGGAGAACTGCAAAGTATATTGAAGAACAATTGGAAAGACAATCTCTTAATTGAAGGGATGTGTGCACACACACACACACGAAAATACCCACACGTATTTGCAAATGTTTTCTGGTAACAAGCGTGCTTTTAATAAGCTCAGTACCCATCTGGCTCTGGCTCAGTCCCAGGACATTTCCCCGAAAGTGAGTGTAAAGTGAATTTTCCTTATTAGGAACGGAACTGCCCTGCAGGGGTGGATGTGCTCTCCAGGCTGCACAACAGCTGCCAGTGGTAGCGAGTAAATCTTCCTTGAGGCCTTCAGGCAAGCGGGGAGCTGGTAGGTCCTCAGTGAGCCCAGCCCACTGACTCAGAGGAGACTGGGCAGCCATTGAGATGCAGAAGTTCTGATGGGGAGAGAGCCGAGGGCTCAGGCTCTAGCTGTGCTAGCCAGCATGGGCCACCTGGTTGTATAGGAGTTCACTTTGTCCTCTTTGAATGAGGAGCAGCCATCTGCCTGTCGAGCCCTTGTGTAACAGGCAACATGGGGAGACATCAGAGTCCTGAACTCGGGCTCCAGTGAATTGGGTTTTCCCCCTGTCACTTAATTGTTTCAAAATGCTTTTTTGTTTTTATTGTGAAACATAGCATAGATATATGTTCAAACTAATGCTCCCATAATGTTTAGCCACATGATCAAGTTTTTCCACATCACTGAGAGAGAATCAGTTGTTTCCTCTGAAAATGGGTATGATTAACTCTTGTTGAAATTTATTTCAGAGCTATGGTTTTAAAACAGATTTTCTTAACAATATGGAAGTATAATTTTTGTAACAAATTAAAAGATACAGAAGTAAGGGGCCGGCCCGGTGGCGCACTGGATAAGTGCGCCGCTTGGGAAGCGCGGCGGCGCTCCCGCCCGAGGGTTCGGATCCCACATACAGACCGGTTCCCGCTCACTGGCTGAGCGAGGCGCGGGAGCGACCC